ATTTGAGAACATTCCCAATGTCAAACCAGTTGGAGAACATTCCCAGAACATTCCCAACATTTAAATTAAATGTAACCATGTTTGAACTTTTAGGAAATGTTCTGTTGAAGTATAAATAATGTTATTTTTTGTCAAGTTCCTTAAATGTGCTGAGAATGTCCCAAAGCCAAGTTTCTATTCTGCATCATTCCCAGAAAGTTGTGGGAAGGTTGTATGTAAAATAACCATAGGACCACCACGTTCTCACAACGTTATGTGCTAGCTGGGCTGTAGGCCTACATGACAAATATAATCTCCCACCAAATTATTATTAAATCACAAAACCAGGTGTGTCTTTCTTGGAACTATGTGCAATAAATACACTGGGCTGCCTAGATCAAAATCTTATCAAAAGATCTGTTGTGCACATGCAGGTGTGGATATGCCCTGTAGTCTATATTATTTGCAATGACGTCTTGCCTTCCACGCGCCTTGTCTTGATCAAGTCTTCTGACTGAACGATGAGATCATCATCCTCACAAACATTCAATCAAAAAAGCAAACGCTGAGATTTACTCAATAAAATAAAGAAACAAATAAAGAAAATTGAAACCATAGCCTACCAGTTTAACGGGTATAAGCCTATACTTTCAGGAGTAATCATCTAAATAAAGAATGAGTCTCCTCGCAGTATGCCTATAGCATAGGCCTATCTAACAAAAAAACACAAAGAAAGTTTCATATTTTTTATTTTAATGCAAATATATCAGTGCAGATCTTTCGTCATCAATTTGAATGAATATGTAAAACAATATAAATGTAGTGAATTAAACAACACCCAAACGCCTTCTTGCTGATATTAAAGGCTATAACGAAAGAAATGTTGCATTTCAAGAAATAGCGTGGACCAATAAACTATTAATATAGTTCTTCAGAGAAAAAGAGTGGCAAAGACTAAAATACACAGTAGGCCTGCATGCAAAATATTTATAATGCAACCACTTTAATGAGCTGAAGAGCAATCAGAAAGTATTCACACCCTTTGACTTTTTCCACATTTTGCTGTTACAGCCTGAATTCAAAATGGATTAAATGTAGATTTGTTTGTCACTGGCCTACACTCAATACCCCATAATATCAAAGTGGAATTATGTTTAATTTCAAATTAAAAACGAAAATGTCTTGAGTCAATAATTATTCAATGCCTTTATTATGGCAAGCCTACAAAAGTTCAGGAGTAAATATGTGCTTAACAAGTCACATAATAAGTTGTGCGGACTCACTCTGTCTGCAATAATAGTGTTTAACATGATTTAATTAATAACTACATCATCTCTGTACCCCACACATACAGTGGCTTGCGAAAGTATTCACCCCCCTTGGCATTTTTCCTATTTTGTTGCCTTACAACCTGGAATTAAAATGGATTTTTGGGGGGGTTTGTATCATTTGATTTACACAACATGCCTACCACTTTGAAGATGCAAAATATTTTTATTGTGAAACAAACAAGAAATAAGACAAAAAAACAGAATACTTGAGTGTGCATAACCTTTTGCAGCAATTACAGCTGCAAGTCTCTTGAGGTATGTCTCTATAAGCTTGGCACATCTAGCCACTGGGATTTTTGCCCATTCTTCAAGGCAAAACTGCTCCAGTTCCTTCAAGTTGGATGGGTTCCGCTGGTGTACAGCAATCTTTAAGTCATACCACAGATTCTCAATTGGATTGAGGTCTGGGCTTTGACTAGGCCCTTCCAAGACATTTAAATGCTTCCCCTTAAACCACTCGAGTGTTGCTTTAGCATTATGCTTAGGGTCATTGTCCTGCTGGAAGGTGAACCTCCGTCCCAGTCTCAAATCTCTGGAAGACTGAAACAGGTTTCCCTCAAGAATTTCCCTGTAGTTAGCGCCATCCATCATTCCTTCAATTCTGACCAGTTTCCCAGTCCCTGCTGATGAAAAACATGTACGGCTTAAAATTGTCCTGTGGACAGATACTCCATTCTCTGCTGTGGAGCTTTGCAGCTCCTTCTGGGTTATCTTTGGTCTCTTTGTTGCCTCTCTGATTAATGCCCTCCTTACCTGGTCCGTGAGTTTTGGTGGGCGGCCCTCTCTTGGCAGGTTTGTTGTGGTGCCATATTCTTTCAATTTTTTAATAATGGATTTAATGGTGCTCCGTGGGATGTTCAAAGTTTCGGATATGTTTTTATAACCCAACCCTGATCTGTACAACTTTGTCCCTGACCTGTCTGGAGAGCTCTTTGGTCTTCATGGTGCCGCTTGCTTGAAGGTGCCCCTTGCTTAGTGGTGTTGCAGACTCTGGGGCCTTTCAGAACAGGTGTATATATACTGAGATCATGTGACAGATCATGTGACACTTAGATTGCACACAGGTGGACTTTATTTAACTAATCATGTGACTTCTGAAGTTAATTGGTTGCACCAGATCTTATTTAGGGGCTTTATAGCAAAGGGGGTGAATACGCACCACCGTTATTTATTTTTTAGCATTTTTTAAAACCATTAATTTTTTTCCTTTCACTTCACCAATTTGGACTATTTTGTGTATGTCCATTACATGAAATCCAAATAAAAATCCATTTAAATTACAGATTGTAATGCAACAAAATAGGAAAAACGCCAAGGGGGTTGAATACTTTTGCAAGGCACTGTTCAATTATCTGTAAGGTCCCTCAATCAAGCAATGAATTTCCAACAGAGATTCAACCACAAAGACCAGGGAGCTTTTCCAATGCTTCGCAAAGAAGGGCACCTACTGGTAGACGGGTAAAAAAAAAACAGACATTGAATATTCCTTTGAGCATGGTGAAGTTATTAATTATATTTTGGATGTTGCATCAGTACACCCAGTCACTACAAAGATACAGGTGTCCTTCCCAACTCAGTTGCCAGAGAGGAAGGAAACTGCTCAGGGATTTCACCATGAGGCCAATCTTGACTTTAAAACAGTTACAGAGTTCAATGGCTGTGATAGGAGAAAACTGAGGATGGATCAACAACATTGTAGTTACTCCACAATACTAACCTAATTGACAGAGTGAAAAGAAGGAAGCCTGTACAGAATAAAAATATTCCAGAACACGCATCCTGTTTGCAACAAGGCACTAAAGTAATACAATAATTTGCAAAGGAATTAACTTTTTGTCCTGAATACAAACTGTTATGTTTGTGGCAAATCCAATACAACACATTACTAAGTACCACTCTCCATATTTTAAAACATAGTGGTGGCTGCATCATGTTATGGGTATGCTTGCAATCGTTAAGGACTGAGGAGTTTTTCAGCATAAAAAAACAACATAATGGAGCTAAGCACAGGCAAAATCCTAGAGGAAAACCTGGGTCAGTCTGCTTTCCACCTGACATTGGGAAATAACTTCACTTTACAGCAGCACAATAACCTAAAACACAAGGCCAAATCTACACTGGAGTTGCTTACCAAGAAGACAGTGAATGTTCCTGAGTGGCCGAGTTACAATTTTGACTTAAATATACTTGAAAATCTACGGCAAGACTTGAAAATGGTTGTCTAGCAACGATCAACAACCAATTTGACTGAGCTTGAAGAATTTTAAAAAAAATAAATGGGCAAATGTTGCACAATCCAAGTGTGGAAAGCTCTTAGAGACTTAGAAAAGACACACAGATGTAATTGCTGCCAAAGGTGCTTCTACAAAGTATTGACTCAGGGGTGTGAATACTTATGTAAATGAAATATTTATGTATTTCATTTTCAATAAATTTGCAAAAAATATCTTCTTCTTTTCTTTTCTTTTTTTACATTTGTCATTATGGGGTATTGTGTGTCGATACGTGAATGTTTTTAATTATGTAATTGACTTTGAATTCAGGCTGTAACACAACAAAATATGGAATCAGTCAAGGTGTATGAATACTTTCTGAGGGTACTGTAGCTTTAAAAAGAGAATCTTACAGTAAAAAAATTACAGATGTTTGGTCACCGAACTTCTGTGCATTCAAAAACGTCCAAATAATTTGCTTATTTTGTTGGTGTTAAGAGTGTATTATTCGTAGGCCTACATGTGTCTGATAAGTATAGACCTATCATAATCAATAGCCATACAATTTATTTGGAAAATAAAAGGGTCCTTTACATTTTACTCATCTAGCAGATGCTCTTATCCAGAGCGATTTACAGTTAAGTGCCTTGCTTAAGGGAACATCAACAGATTTTTCACCTAGTAGGCTCGGGGATTAGAACCAGCGACCTTTCGATTACTGGCACAACGCTTACCCATTAAGCTCCCTGCCATCATGAAGTATATCATCAATCATCTTTGAATACTACAGAAACTCAAAGGCTCCATCCACATGATAATAATCGATCAGCCATGCGGCCAATTTATTAGATAGCCTTAGCCATGGGTAACCAAAGTAATCATCACTCCCTTAATCAAGCACACCAGGGATCCCTCAAAATGCAATGTTAGAAATGGTTTGTATTCTATTAAACTAGAAATGTTATGAATTGAGTGTGGTTTTCATATGACCATTGTGCGCATGCAGACTAAATTAATTGCAATAATGGGAAGGTAGGTATATTCAAACAAAAGTGGCAGATTTTCAATGTGTTTTTTAGCACACGTCTATTTAGGTTCATGCCTTCCAGTCCACGTTTCATTGACTGCAGGTAACTTTTCGGATGGATAACAATGCTAATACCCTTGCAAATTAACGTTATAATGCAAACCTTTACCACGGCCGAAAATGTCCATATCATCATCAACCCGTAAATGTATTAAAAAGAACTGCCCCAAATGCAAGTTAATTCTAGACATTATTAATCAAATATATTTAAACAGAGACATCCTTGTCATGGAGAATAACTTTCGTTGGATTTTAATTTCCAAGCGCATGTTTGCTCCGATTTCCAAGAGTTCTCGTCGGTGTGACAAAGCCCTCTTGACAGAAGTTCAACTCCAAAAACCGGAAAAGTTTCGGTGGAGTAGCCTAGGCTAACATACACGTGAAGGAGGAGACCAATGAAATGGGGAAAGAGTCTTGAGCGCAGCCAAGAAGATTGACGTAATGGACGCGTCAAATTAATCTTGAGCCTTCGGGATGGACAGATTTCCTCCTATGGGACAAAAATCACTTCAGTCCCTTTGCCCAAACTCGCCGTCTTCGATCATCTTACCAGAAATGAAAGAGCAGAGCTAAAGGAAAAACTCACAGCAAAACCGTTTTCCTCATCTCATGTTCAGAGGGGAGAAACTGCACTTTTCGGCCATTCTTAACTGGTAAAGGACAACATCTCACACCAAAGGCAATGGGTAAGCATACCCTACTGGGCACACACTGGTTGAATCAACGTTGTTTCCACGTCATTTCAATGAAATTACGTTGAACCAATGTGGAATAAACTTTGAATTGAGTTCTGTGCCCAGTGGGCCATGATTGATTTGGCATGGACTCATCAGGAGAACATTTTTGCATAAACAGAGATTTAGAGGTTTTACCATTATATTGCAGTATCCTATTCTCAAATGCGTGCATCCATGTATCATTCCAATGGCAGCGTCCATGTCTCTGTTTCCATGTATTTTTAAGACACATTTGTATTGAGCTGCTTTCCAAAGTTTGAGATCATTATAGGTTATTGGACATTTTATTTGAAGCCTTAATGATGTACGAATGATATAGGTTAGATCAAGTATAGGGAATGGTGCTTTGTAAACTTGAGTGCGCACTGCGCATTAAGCTAGGCTATAAACTACACATGCTATTGTGGTTATGCTATTTGTTTAAAACACCGTAACATTGCTCTGTCGAGTCAATGCACCTCAATGCAATTCCTAATTTGTTTCTTGCAGATCAAACATATGGAGAAGTAAACCAGCTTGGCGGGGTATTTGTCAACGGACGACCACTTCCAAATTCGATTCGGATTAGAATCGTGGAATTAGCTCAACTTGGAATACGACCGTGTGACATCAGTAGACAGCTTCGAGTCTCTCATGGCTGTGTGAGCAAGATACTAGCGAGATACAACGAGACGGGTTCGATACTGCCAGGTGCCATAGGAGGAAGTAAACCCCGGGTTACAACACCCAACGTGGTGAAAAGCATAAGGGATTACAAACAAGGAGACCCTGGAATATTTGCTTGGGAGATCAGGGACAGGCTTCTTGCAGATGCAGTGTGTGATAAGTATAACGTTCCCTCCGTTAGCTCCATAAGCCGCATTTTACGCAACAAAATAGGAAATCTTTCCCAGCCTGGCCAGTATGAGAACAGCAAGCCAACCCCTCCTCAGCTCTCCTACAACCACATGTACCCGTACTCATACCCCAGCGCAATGTCACCCACTGGGACTAAAATTGGCAGCGGTCCCGGTATACCCGTCACGCCGGGCCATGTCAGCCTCTCCCGCCATGGCTGGCCTTCCGTGCACACAGTCAGCAACATTTTGGGCATCCGTGCCTTCATGGACCCTGCAGGTTGGTGACAAAATAATATATTTTGCATTGAATTTGACTCTTGCAGCTCAGTTGTTTCTTCAGAAACGGCAGTACTGAGTGCATACACACTTCTCAAATCGGCGATATTTCCATATGCATAATTCTTCAATATTTACGCATTAGTGTGGCTTGTCCATCAAACAGATATTTCATACAATTCCATATGAATGAGAAAACAACGTAAAACAACCAACTTATATTAAACGACATAGATTGATAAATAAAATAACATTATAGATTTAACTGTAAAATAGAGAAACGGTTTTATGGGCCTAACAGGCTATGCATATAATAGTCATATGCCTACGTTAGTCATATAACGAAAGTTAATAAATAATAGCCTATTGATAAAGGAGCCAAATTACACATCTGATATAAATATGGATGCTAAATCATCTCGAAATGTGTCAATGGTCAAATAAGGATAGCCTGTCAGTTTGAGGACTACTTTGTGGTTTGGCTATTAATAGGCCTATTCATAGTTCTATAACGAACCTGTAGCCCATTATGAACGTTAATTTAACGTCTTATTTTATTTGGGATGTCATTGTTTCTCTTCAGAATATAGCATTATAATCGCATGTAATCATGCCTCTATAAGTCCAACAGGCAAACACACAAATACTATAGGTGTCACATCAACAAGAATGTTTAAAATATAACATCTCATGATAGATCTTACAAAAAACATGGCATTGAACACATTGTGGCCAAAACATTCGATCTGATTTTCGAAAGTAAATATTGTTTGAAGTGTGTGTTTAGCGAAGAATTTCCACACGAATTTACCTGTTTATCATAACATGTCTTTGTGCAATAGGAATTTTGTCCTCAGCAGAGGTAGATCTGAAAATATCGATATGTATCGAATAAAAACCTAAAGTGGTTTGTAGGCTTAATAATGTTATATTCTACACTGAAACATTTTCCACAGCCATTGCTGGAGCTGAGGGGTACCCATCAAAAATGGAGGAGTGGGCGAGCGTAAACAGAGCGACGTTTTCCTCTGCCCATGGTGTCAACGGAATAGAGAAATCCTCCCTAGAGGCAGACATCAAGTTTCCTCAGGTACATTTATGAATCAAATACACAAACAATACACAAACAACGAATATGTTCATAGTTTGATCAGAAATCCGTTTCCACTACGTTTCCACTGTAAATGCAATGCATGCATAAAAGTGTTGGGGCGTTTTGCTTCTCTGTGCTTAAAATGCGTTTTTTTTTTTTTTCCTTTCCAGTCTTCTTCAAACCTATCTAGTTATGTCCCTGCTTGTGCCTACTCTCCCCCAAACCAATACGGGGTGTATGGTGGACCAGCAGGTAACTATATGACAACTGGACACCACTGGCAGTCTCAGAGCACGAGCCTGGCCCACCCCAACAGCGAAGCAACGATGCAAGGTGGAGACCTCCACATGGCAATGTCCTTCAAACACTCAGCACGAGAAGGTAAGCCATGTAGTCTGAGTACTTAGCTATACGTTTTTACATTTCAAATCTTCAGGTGATATTTGAATGAAGAACAATGGCAGGCACGGCTAAGGAAGCTGTCAATCAAACACCAGCAATTTGTAAATGCACTCGTCAAAAAAAAGATTACACCCTGTGGGTCGAAAGCTAACGATCCAACAGTATGTTCCTAATTAGGGGGTCGAGGAAGACAACGGTTGACATTTAAATAATGTTGTATGTAATAACAGGCCATAGGCTTCGGCCATAGGCTAAACAGAGCAGGCGCTGCGCTGGGCGACTCATAAGGAAACCATTAAGTCCTCTGAGAGAAGACATTGTATGTGTAGGCTACTTTATTTACTGTGCAAGTCGTTCTGGCCTATAGGTATAGCACATCAGTACCCACTCAGGTGATGACTGTAGGCCTATAGGTGTAGCTGATCAGGAAGAAACCATTAATAATATTTGAATAGGCCGATTTATTTACTATAACGATTTCGACGTTTGGGCCTACATATTCATAAAAATATAAAGTAGCAATTATGATGTTCAAATGATGTCTATTCAATTTGCGAAGAAAAGTTAGGCTACATTATGTTCCTATTTTCAAGCTTTTATTGCGTTTGCTTTTTAACGACGGATACGCCGATATGGAAGGTTTTTCTTTTTACAGATACAAATGTCATTGAGGGGTACAACCATGAAATTAGCGATGTCAATACATTCGACTTATTCCTATGGAGAAAAAAAACGTCATGAAGATATAGCCTAATTCACGTTAAACCAATGAGCACCATTTTACATTAAATGCTTGAGTATACCCTGTTGGAAAATCGATGCTGCTGTTTATCCAATCATTTTGATGTCAGTTGCTTGGCCTATAGCCTTATTATATTTTTTAGAAGATACTGTTTTTGTGAAGGAAGATTGCTACATATACTGAACAAAAATATAAAAGCAACATGCAACAATTTCAACGATGAAGTTTTTCCCCACAAAAGGGCTTTATTACAGACAGAAATACTGATCAGTTTCATCAGCTGTCCGGGTGGCTGGTCTCAGAAGGTCCCGCAGGTGAAGAAGCCGGATGTGGAGGTCCTGGGCTTGCGTGGTTACACGTGGTCTGCGATTGTGAGGCCGGTTGGATGTACTTCCAAATTCTCTAAAATGAGGCGGCTTATGGTAGAGAAATTGAACATTTAATTATTTGGCAACAGCTCTGGTGGACATTCCTGTAGTCAGTACCCAATTGCATGCTCCCTCAAAACTTGAGACATCTGTGGCATTGTGTTGTGTGACAAAACTGCACATTTTAGAGTGGTCTTTTATTGTCCCCAGCACAAGGTGCACATGTGTAAATATCATGCTGTTTTATCAGTTTATTGATATGCCACACCTGTCAGGTGGATGGATTATCTTGGCAACGGAGAAATGCTCACTAACAGGGATGTAAACAAATTTGTGCACAACATTTGACAGAAATAAGCTTTTTGTGCATATGGAACATTTCTGGGATCTTTTATTTCAGCTCATGGGACCAACACTTTAAATGCTGCGTTTATATTTTTGTTCAGTAGTATATTAGGCCTACAATACAATGGACAAATATGATTCCATAACCATTTGATAGGCTACTATTGACAGTCCAATAACCTTGATCTATGTCAGATGAGACATGAAAGACTACTCTGTCTAGATATCGCAATAATTTAAACGGCCAGCAATGCCATATCTCTGTTGCTGCAGTTATGGTGAAGTATGGCGTTTTCTTTGGAGATTGTGTTGCGATATCTGCTCTCCTTGCCACGGCATTGGGACCAACAGCTAACATGCTTTTGTGTGCCCACTGTTCTGATGATGGATAGAATTACGACTTATTTGTTCCATGAACATATCTCTTGTTTGTTTTTCGCAGGAGACAGAAAACCTCCCAGTCCCTTGAGCAAGCCCCAGCACGAGGCGTTGAGCGTACACGGACTATCTCTCCGGACCTCAGCTTCATAGCCCAACGAAACCAACGGACCGTCAAGATCACAGGCAATGTAGCCTAAAGAAAATGCGTACAATTAAAGGATTTCAAAAAACGAATAATCCACTAGTAAGTGACGAACCTAAATTTTCAACATCATTCGGTGTAATTGCATTGCATGCCAATAGGCTAAAAATGTAAAATAATCGAATGTCGACATGAATGTTGGTACAGTCTTGTTCACCTGCACCAATGCAGCGGTGTTGATTAGGACTTCATTATTATATCTTTAATATTCCACTCATTCAAAACTCATCCCAATCGAAATTGTGTAAAACTAATTATGTAGCCAGCCTAATTGTCTTGAGGTCACATTGTTTCTCATGACAGATGATAGATAGTCCTGCATGCTCTCTGGGTTCAAACAAACGTGAACAATCTCTATTTGTTAGGCCTATGTCCTGAAAGGGAAAGTTCAAAATGTTAGCAATATCATGTAGGCCTATTTGTAATTTTGTAAATTAAATCCGCAAAAGCTGTATTATATATTTTTATAGCCTAACTGTGCTTAATAAAGGCATGCTAAACGGGAAATGCCTCTTTCATATCTTTGGATTTGCCTAATTCCTGCAGTTTATATTGTTCGGTCCTGGTAAAATTAAAATGATAAAATTGTGTTTGTTAAAATAACTTGGTATAATGATTTAGTATAACAACTTTTTTCCTGATGTGTCACTCACCATGCCTCCCTTCAAATTCGTGCAAACCAAGCTTTTCTGCAGTTAATGATGCTGCGCACTTTTCGGCGCCTTGCAAGATGGTATCTCTGTAGGCATATACTCTTGGCCAGATGCCACCGCCAGGCTTGGTCTCTCTCTCTCTCTCTCTCTCTCTCTCTCTCTCTCTCTCTCTCTCTCTCTCTCTCTCTCTATCTCTCGCTCTCTCGCTCTCTTCAGACCATGACACAAATCATACAATGACACATCTATTGGATAGCCTATTTCAAGACAAACACGAAACCCCCGATAATCCAACATACCGTATCAGAACCGGCTGTACACAAACCTCTGGCGCACCTAATCAATCCAAACCACGCAGAGATGCAAGTCATGCGTGCGCAACTGCGGTTACTCACTGTTTGCATCAATAATCATAGAAGGATACAAGACAAACATGTTGTAAAGCTAAAGCTAATAATGCTACGCCAAGAGAAGCATTTACGACGCTTAAAATTGATAGATTGTCAATGTACCTACATTTGGGACTGCATACTGTGTTGATCTTCAGAAAACATTCGAACTTGGGTTTGATAAATTGTTGACCGTGAGCAAACTATCCCTGACGGATTAAACCAGACGGGCCACATTCACAGCTCAAGTTTCCCTCTATGCACATTTGTTTTTTTTGATAATTGTTTATTCCAGTGTACAGCTTACATCTGTTCAACTGAATTCTGATCGAATGGGTATTCACCCATCCAATCCGTGTGAGCTATAGGTTGCCTTGCAAGTGTAGACTAAATATACATTACATTTGACATTTTAGTCATTTAGCAGACGCCCTTATCCAGAGCGACTTACAGTTAGTGAGTGCATACAGAGAGATCATGTGCCTAATCGACATTTGATTGTTATTAGATTAGATTTATTATATTATATTATACTAGTATGAATCAGAATATATTTTGATATGTAGTATATTGAAATTTATCCAACTCAAACCCTTCTTGAAATACTACAAGGCTACTGAAATTCATTCTAACTACAATAAGGTAATATGAATATGAACACGAACATGAATGTATAGTATGTATTAAGATAATGCTTGAATATTAATATTTCTGTATTAATGTTATAATCTATATTATAAAGTGCGTGGTTCGAGCCCTGAATGCTGATTGGCTAAAAGCCGTGGTATATCAGACAATATACCAGGGGTATGACAAACATTTATTTGTATTCTTCTAAATACGTTGGTAGCCAGTTTATAATAGCAATAAGGCATCTCTGGGGTTTGTGGTATATGGGCAATACACCACACCCCCTCGGGCCTTATTGCTTAAATATAATGTATTAATTATTATAATTATAATTATTTCTATTCCTTATTTAAGGATAGCCTATAAGTGATTTCCCTGCTGCATTCGATAATTACCTAATACATAAATACATTCAGAATACCTATAAAAAATTATAATTACATAGTCATTACATATATATTTTTTATTATTATTATCACAGGAAATTATTGTACAACCCTAAAAATATATTCATTATTATCTGGTTATGTAATGCTGCATTAGATAGACCTACTGAGTGTCTTTAAAAATAATACTTGTTTAAGACCAGGGAGTTGACAACATTTCAGGGTGAATACAGAGGTCTATTTGGGGTTTTGAGGCGTAAACAGAGAGCAATTTAGGAATTTTTATATCTGCATATAGGACTAAAAATACTAACTAGGAAAACCTTATGAAAATACAGTTTGTGAAAGTGGAAAACATAGTTTAGCTAAGCGCTTACGTTTAACATCCCTCAGAGTACAGTTTGCCTGTGTGGTGGCTATTTATCTTTCTATTTATCTTATTTCACCTTTATTTAACCAGGTAGGCCAGTTGAGAACAAGTTCTCATTTACAACTGCGACCTGGCCAATATAAAGCAAAGCAGTGCGGTAAAAACAACAACAACACAGAGTTACATATGGAATAAACAAAACATACAGTCAATAACACAATAGAAAATCTATATACAGTGTGTGCAAATGTAGTAAGTTATGGAGGTAAGGCAATAAATAGGCCATAGTGCAAAATAATTACAATTATAATTTAGTATTAACACTGGAGTGATAGATGTGCAGAAGATGATGTGCAAATAGAGGTACTGGGGTGCAAATGAGCAAAATAAATAACAATGTAAATAACAATATGGTGATGAGATAGTTGGGTGGGCTAATTACAGATGGGCTGTGTACAGGTGCAGTGATCAGTAAGCTGCTCTGACAACTGATGCTTAAAGATAGTGAGGGAGTTAAGTGTCTCCAGCTTCAGAGATTTTTGCAGTTCGTTCCAGTCATTTGCAGCAGAGAACCGGAAGGAATGGCGACCAAAGGAGGTGTTGGCTTTGGGGATGACCAGTGAGATATACCTGCTGGAACGCATACGCATGGGTGTTGCTATGGTGACCAATGAGCTAAGATAAGGCGGGGATTTGCCTAGAAGTGATTTATAGATGACCTGGAGCCAGTGGGTTTGGCGACGAATATGTAGTGAGGGCCAGCCAACGAGAGCGTACAGGTCACAATGGTGGGTAGTATATGGGGCTTTGGTGACAAAACGGATGGCACTGTGATAGACTACATCCAATTTGCTGAGTAGAGTGTTGGAAGCTATTTTGTAAATGACATCGCCGAAGTCAAGGATCGGTAGGATAGTTAGTTTTACGAGGGCATGTTTAGCAGCATGAGTGAAGGAGGCTTTGTTGCAAAATAGGAAGCCGATTCTAGATTTAACTTTGGATTGGAGATGCTTAATGTGAGTCTGGAAGGAAAGTTTACGGTCTAACCAGACACCTAGGTATTTGTAGTTGTCCACATATTCTAAGTCAGACCCGCCGAGAGTAGTGATTCTAGTCGGGCAGGCGTGTGTAAGCAGCGTTCGATTGAAGAGCATGCATTTAGTTTTACTAGCGTTTAAGAGCAGTTGGAGGCCACGGAAGGAGTGTTGTATGGCATTGAAGCTCGTTTGGAGGTTTGTTAACACAGTGTCCAAAGAAGGGCCAGATGTATACAAAATGGTGTCGTCTGCGTAGAGGTGGATCTGAGAGTCACCAGCAGCAAGAGCGACATCATTGATATACACAGAGAATAGAGTCGGCCCGAGAATTGAACCCTGTGGCACCCCCAAAGAGACTGCCAGAGGTCCAGACAACAGGCCCTCCGATTTGACACATTGAACTCTATCTCAGAAGTAGTTGGTGAACCAGGCGAGGCAGTCATTTGAGAAACCAAGGCTATTTAGTCTGCCAATAAGAATGCAGTGATTGCCAGAGTCAAAAGCCTTGGCCAGGTCGATGAAGACGGCTGCACAGTACTGTCTTTTATCGATCGCGGTTATTATATCGTTTAGGACCTTGAGCATGGCTGAGGTACACCCATGACCAGTTCGGAAACCAGATTGCATAGCGGAGAAGGTACGGTGGGATTCGAAATGGTCGGTGATCTGTTAACTTGGCTTTCAAATACTTTCAAAAGGCAGGGGAGGATGGATATAGGTCTGTAACAGTATGGATCTAGAGTGTCACCCCCTTTGAAGAGGGGGATGACCGCGGCAGCTTTCCGTTCTCTGGGGATCTTAGACGATTCGAAAGAGAGGTTGAACAGGCTAGTAATAGGGGTTGCGACAATTTCGGCGGCTAATTTTAGAAAGAAAGGGTCCAAATTGTCTAGCCCAGTTGATTTGTAGGGGTCCAGATTTTGCAGCTCTTTCAGAACATCAGCTATCTGAATTTGGGTGAAGGAGAAGCGGGGGGGGGGGGGGGGGGGGGGGGCATGGGCAAGTTGCAGCGGAGGGTGCAGAGCTGGTGGTCGGGGTAAGGGTAGCCAGGAGGAAAGCATGGCCAGCCATAGCAAAATGCTTGAAATTTTCGATTATCGTAGATTTATCGGTAGTGACAGTGTTTCCTAGCCTCAGTGCAGTGGGCAGGAGGTGCTCTTATTCTCCATGGACTTTATAGTGTCCCAACATTTTTGGAGTTAGTGCTACAGGATGCACATTTCTGTTTGAAAAAGTTAGCCTTTGCTTTCCTAACTCATTGTGTATATTGGCTCCTGACATCCCTGAAAAGTTGCATATCGCGGGGGCTGTTCGATGCTAATGCAGTACGCCACAGGATGTTTTTGTGCTGGTCAAGGGCAGTCAAGTCTGGGGTGAACCAGGGGCTATATCTGTTCTTAGTTCTGAATTTTTTGAATGGGGCATGCTTATTTAAGATGGAGAGGAAAGCACTTTTAACGAACAACCAGGCATCCTCTACTGATGGAATGAGGTCAATATGCATCCAGGATACTCGGGCCAGGTCAATTAGAAAGGCCTGCTCGCTGAAGTGTTTTAGGGAACGTTTGACAGTGATGAGAGGTGGTCGTTTGACCGCGGACCCATTACGGACGCAGGCAATGAGGCAGTGATCGCTGAGATCCTGGTTGAAGACAGCGGAGGTGTATTTAGAGGGTAAATTAGTCAGGATGATATCTATGAGGGTGCCCATGTTAACGGATTTAGGGTTGTACCTGGTAGGTTCCTTGATAATTTGTGTGAGATTGAGGGCATCTAGTTTAGATTGTAGGACGGCCGGGGTGTTAAGCATATCCCAGTTTAGGTCACCAAGCAATACGAACTCTGAGGATAGATGGGGGGCAATCAATTCACATATGGTGTTCAGGGCACAGCTGGGGGCTGAGGGGGTCTGTAGCAAGCGGCAACAGTGAGAGACTTATTTCTGGAAAGGTGGATTTTTAGAAGTAGAAGCTCAACTGTTTGGGCACAGACCTGGATAGTATGATAGAGCTCTGCAGGATATCTCTACAGTAGATTGCAAC